AGAGCAGAGGGGCTCCAGCCCTGGGAGCAGCTCCATGGCCTCCTCTGGACTCTCTCCAGCAGCTCCACGTCCTTGTGCTGTTGTTCCCAGGGCTGGAGCAGCTCTGCAGGGGGGTCTTGGTTAAGGGGCAGAGGGCCAGAATCCCCCCCCTCCTACTGCTGACACTGGGGGATGAGTTCAGGATACAAGGTCTGCTCTGGGGAGAGGCTCCTACCCCTGCACATCCCTCCTGGAGGAATGCTGGAAAATCCTGGGGATGTTGTAAAAAGAGACAGGAATGGTCTGGAAGCAGCTGCCTGGCAGGGGAGTGCCGAGGAGCTCAGCCTCTCATACATCAGAGGAAGAGCAAGAGGTGACACAATGATCATCCATAAATGCCTTCACAGAGAGAAAATATCAGCTACTAAAGGGCTCTTCAATCAAGTGAAGAGAAGCAGCACAGACCCAGCCTCCGGGGGCTGGAACAGACGCACTTGGGTTAGAAACAAGATGCAGTCTTTAAAAATAAGAGTGATTAAAGAGTGGCATAAACTGTCCCTGGGGGTGGTGGATCCCGCAGCTCATGGTGCCCCCAAGTTGAGATGAGCTCTGAGATGAGCCCCAGAGTCGAGATGAGCTCTGTTCCAGCACAGGCTCCAGACACGTCCCCAGACGCCTCCTCACCACTGCCAGCACCCACAGCCCCTGCAGAGGTGGCACAGTGCAGGCCATGGGATGGGCTCCTGACATGGCACATGTCCAGGGTCAGTGCCTCCCTGCAGCTCATCCCTGGGGTTAAATATTCTGATTTGCACTGTGCCTCTGAATGAGCTTCCAGCCTGACCCATTGCCCCATCCCTGGAAGTGTCCCAGGCCAGGTTGGACGAGGCTTGGAGCAACCTGGGCTAGTGGAAGGTGTCCTTGCCCATAGTGGGGGGGTGGAATGAGATGAGCTTTCAGGTCCCTTCCCACCCAAACCACTCCATGGTACTGTGACCACCATGGAGCACACACGGCTTCTGTGCAAGGAGGTGAAGAGGTGAGAAGGTGGGGAGGGGAGGAGGTGAAGGGATGACGGGTGAAGAGGAGAAGAGGTGGCCTCCAGTACCCAGCCCTCTCTCCACCACCACTTTCCCCAGACACAGACTTCTAAACAAAGCCAGATGATCCAATTTGCTGTAAATTTCCCCTCTGGAGTCAGCTCCCCATGCCCAGTGGGGCGATGGCACGTGCCAGCAGGAGTTTGCCTTGACGAAACTCCCGTTATTCACAGGGTGTGGGAAAGGAGGCAGGAATAAATGGGGATACTTTGTGAAATGGATGGAATATGGCAGTTGGTGAAGGCACTGCTGTTGGTTTCAGATGCAAACACCCCAGCCCAGAGGATCTGAGCGAACGGGAAGGTGCGGGAGCAGCTGGGAGCAGCGCTGGAGGATGCTGTCACCATGGCAACGGGATGAGCACGCTACCGCTCGGATCAAGGACACAGTTTTATTGTCCAAGTGCCGAGGATTTTTTAGCCCAGTTTCCAGGGACCGCGTGTTAATAACAGTTGCATCCTATTTATCCTGGGCCTTTATTGTCTCCGTAATGAGCTCTCCAGGAAAACCTGGAGAGCGTTTCCTTGGAGGCTCCGCGCCAGAAACGCGACTCCGAGTTAAGTGGTTTGCTTCGCTGGCAATTCCCTCCCTTGCCCACACGCTTTGAAATACAGAGCAGGCTGATTAACTATTAATAACAGGGCACTGACAAACCACACATTGTGCCCCGGGTTGTGCCAGTTGTTCCAGAGGCACCCGGAGCTCTCGCTGTGGCAGTGGGGACACTCCTCACCCCGCCATGGGTGGGACACACCGTGGTTACCCCCCTGCTGTGCCCTGCCTGGTGCCCCAGAGCTGCACATTCCAGCAGTCTGGGAGAGGATCAGCTCAGGTGGATGACGATGATGATGATGATGATGAATGACAGGACATGGCTGTGCACACAAAGCTTCCCAGTGCCCTCCAAGGATAACGCCAGAGCCACGCGATTGAAGTCTGGAATTCCTTTCCTACTTACAGATGGTTGGACTCAATGATCCTGGAGGTCTTTTGCGACAAAACTTGATTCCATGATTCTGTTAAATACATTGATATTATTCCTGTGCTGTTAACTTATTTCCTGTATAGAAGGAAATCTTGGCTGGCCCCAGTGAGGTCTGACTCCAATGAATCCAATCCCGTGTCCCTTCAGCATTCCAGCAGTGATTACCCTCACAGAAACCTGCTGTGAAACCAGAGACCTCCAATGTGACCATCTCCTGGGAGCCCAGAACAGTCTGGAGCAGAGTGAGGGCACGGATTCACCACTGCTTTTGGGCTGTGCTGCTGCTGAGCTGGGGGTGCTTTTCTCTCATTTCACCCCCTCCCACCCAACCCCTGTTCCAGGCTGGAGCTGTGGTCACTCTGTGCTGTCAGTTTAAATCCTGGTGGCTGCTGCAGCCCTGGGGATGAGGGATCAGCAAACCAAACCCGCAGGCAGCAGGTGCTGCCAAGCCCAGCTCTGCAGCCGCTTTCCGTCACTGCAGCCCAGCTGCTCCCAAATCCTGGGATTTACCACCTCTGCCAGGGCAGAGCCATCCTCTCCGACCCCATGCCAGCACCCCTGAGCGTGGCAAAGGCCACCACACCCCAACAGACACTGGAGTTGCAGCTGTGGGCAGGTGCCAATGCCTTGTCCTGCAGCCTCGGACAACTGAGGCATCCCAGAAGTGCCCAGTGCCCCCTGCCTGGTGCTCCCCAGCCTGCAGCCAGCTTGGAGCAGAGCTGGCAGAGCCTTGGCACCACATGCCATCGCCAGGAGTGCTGCAGAGCAGAGCTGCAGGATTCCAAGGCTCAGCCCAGAGGGCAGGCGCAGCTCAGACTTGCTCAGCTCTGGCTCTGGCAGGAGGGCACTGATGTGGAGACTGAAATCATCGATCTTGGGATGGCTCTGGAGAAATAACACCTAACAGTGCCTTTAAGACATATTTCATAGAAACACAGAATCATTAGGGTTGGAAAAGACCTCCAAGATCATCGAGTCCCACCTGTGCCCGATGCCCACCTTGTCACCCAGCCCAGGGCACTGAGGGCCACGTCCAGTCCTTCCTTGGACACCTCCAGGGATGGGGACTCCACTCCCTGGGCAGCCTCTTCCGATGGCTGATCACTCTTTCCATGATGAAATTCCTCCTGATGTCCAACCTGACGCTGCCCTGGTGTAGGTGAGGCTGTGTCCTCTTGTCCTGTCAAATTCCATCGTGTTCCAAGCAGTCTCCACAGCAACCACCACATTCCAGCACGACACTCCAGGCACAGGAACTGGGCAGCAGCTCCAGTTTCCATTCAGCATCTGCCATGAGTGTTATCCCTCCATGGCATTCCCAGCTTCCCACTCCCTGTGCAGCCCACACCGGCCATGACAAACAACCCAGCCCTTCAAACACACGGAGAAGTTTCCTTTTCTTCTTTAACCAACAAACACAGTCACCAAACCCCCATTCTGCTTAATGCAGCTCTGCATCAAAACACCTCCGAGGCAATTCATTTATACCAGGAGAACTTCTGAGGCTGGAATTTTCCCTGATGGCACCGCTGGAAGGCTACAACAGCCCAGCAGGTCAGTGAGTTGAAAGCAGTATTTCATCTGGCAATTTATTCAAATAAATCTTTCAAAACATGAAATAAGCTATAAAGATGGAGCCTGTCAAAGCCTGCAGTAGCCGAGCTCCTGAGCAGAATGACCAAGCAGGAGCAGCAGCAGCTCCGGCCCGTCAGGCATGGGATGGCAGCCCAGCTCCCCGTGCCAGGGGTAGGATGATCCAGCCCCTGGATCATCCCAGGGTGCAGAGCACTCAGTGGGATAACAGCAGATGGAGAAGTGTTTTCATTAATTGCTGTCATTATGGTCATCACAGCTCTGGTGCTGTTCCTGCCACCACCCCCAAAGCCTTGGGCAGGAAAGGGGAAGCTGTGTCTCACTGCATTGGGAAGGCTCAGCTCTCCTGCTGCCACTGCTGTGTCTCCAACTCCCAGCTGGTTCCACGGATCTGTCACTGTCATGCCACACCTTCCTACCCTCTGCTCTGTGCAGTGACACTATTGAGTACATGGGTCCTGTGGGGCCTGGAGCATGGGATTCTGGAACCCCCATGGGGTTTTGGGGCAGAATGGAGCCCCACTGCCAGCTCCAGGCACAGGAGGTGCTGCCCACAGCACACGAAACAGGGCAAACCCGTGAGGTTCCATTTGATGTTGGCACAGGACAGGAAGGGCAGGAGCTGACTGTGACACACGGGCAGCGTGTCCTGGGCGCAGCCTGGGGGTCTCCAGGAGCAATGTGGGGGCTACAGGGGGACGTGCAGGATGAGGACTCGCTCTGCCCATTCATGCCACGGGCAATGGCATGACCTGGGCACCCCAGAGATGTGTGGAAAGTCACCCAATGCCACCAGCTGCTCCTTGGCACCAGATGGGGGTTTTAAAGAAGGCTTTGAAACCCCCAGGTCTGAGCTCAGCAGAGGCTGTGAGAGCAACTGAGGGGAATTCCAGCACAAAGAAAGGTTTTCCTGGCATTGTTTGGGAGGAAGGAGGGGCTGGGGCAAGTGGGCACTCATGCTCTGGGGGAAGAAGAGCCCCTTTGTGGCGGGCACACCGTGGGCATTGTCTGCTGGCCGCCTGCCCTGCCAGCCGGGCTCCGAGGTCAGCAGAGCCACGTCAGTGGCACTGAGAGCTGCCCCCACTGTGCATTTACTTCTCTTTTTAACATTTCACAATCAGGCTGGGCTCCCTCACTGACTCCTCTCTCCTCTTCACTAATTGCATTGAGAAAGGGAAGAAATGATGACACTTAGTAATCACAGACTCATAAAATCTTGGAATGGCTTGGGTTGGAAGGGACCTTAAAGATCATCCAGTCCCACCCCCTGCCACCTCCCACCACCTTCCACTGTCCCAGGTTACTCCAAGCCCCATCCAACCTGGCCTTGGACACTTCCAGGGATGGGACAGCCACAGCTTCTCTGGGCAACCTGTGCCAGGGTCTCCCCACCCTCACAGGGAAGAATTCCTTGCCAAGATCTCATCTAAACCCACACTCTGTCAGGGAACACATCAAATCATTGGTACTTATGTCGGATCACTGTGCAATTCCAAAAGTTTCAGCCTCATCCAAATCCGGCCGAGGGAAACAGCTTTGTTAAAACCAGCAAAGATTGACCTGGATTGGGCTCCTGCTTCATGAGGAATGCTGAGTTTTGGAGGAACAGAGAGCAGGTAGTTGTATTTGTGCTTGTGCTGCATCTCTGCCTGCTGCCGGGAAGTGAACAGGCTGCTCAGGGAAAACCAGGAAACAAAGGTTAATCCAGCAGCCGAGGCTGTTGTGAAGATTACAGATCTGGCAGGATCTGTGGGCTTTGATCTTCTTTCATGGATCCCCCAAAATTAAAAGCTGCTTTGAAAATCCTAGAATTATTGTGCCTTAGCCCTGGATCTCCCTGTGGGGATCTGATGGCTCCGACCTGTTTCTGCAGCATCTGGTGCAGCCCCACTCTCCACGAGATTTGGGACCTGCATCCCAGGGAAGCTGTGTCCCTCCTTCATCCTCCCTCCCAGAGGGGGATCAGCCCTTGCCTGCCCATGGCAGTTTCCCTGCAGTGCTATCCTTGCTCCTGCTCCTCTGGCTGCTCCCACAGCACAAATTCCCCTGTTCCAGGTGCAGTTTCCCTGTTCCAGGCACAGCTTCCCTATTCTGGGCGCAGCTTCCCTGTGCTGGGCAGGCTGCTCCAGTGATGCCCATTAGTTCTAATGGGAAGCTACAGGGCCATTCCTTCCCATCAGGACTAATGGGCAGTGCAGGGATAACGTGGTTACCTCGGCTGAGCCACAGCGACTTCCCGGCAGCTCAAGAGCCAGCGGGGTCACGAGCCAGGGCTTCATTGCCCAGGAGACAGGAGCCAAATTGGTCTGTCCATGGACTGGGAGAGCAGTTCATTAGAGCAGGACAATGCATTGGCCTCGTCCCACAGCCCGCAGTGCCCTGGAGCACAGAGAGCAGGAGGAGCCCTGGGACAAACCCTCACCCCCGGCACCGGCACAGCCACAGCCGGCAGTGTTCGATGGCTCAGAAACCATAAAACACAGGGATTTGGAGAATCCTCTGGTTAGCTGGAGGGAGGGATGCAGGGAAGAGAGACGTGTAGGGAGCACTCTTCCCACTCCAGCATCTCACTCCAGCATCCCACTCTGCTGGACCTGTTCCTTCCTGCTGTCCGGGCAGCAGAACGGAGACTCCTTGTTCACTTATTCCACACATGATGCATATTCACTCCCAGTTAATTCCCTGGGCCTGCTGGCTCAGGAAAGGATTTCCACATTACTCTCCCCTCACATACACATTATAAACCACAATTTTTTGTCATGCTGCAGGGGAAGGAGCAGCTGTCCATCCTTGGGATCCAGCCCAACCTGCTCTCTGGAGCACTTTGCAAGGCCAGACTCCTGATCCTCCTCGAACATCTTGGATTATGAACAGAAACTTGGTTGTTTCTGGGTCTGCTTTGATGTCCGGGTTCCCTAACGAAGCCCTTTGCAGCATGAGAATGAGGATTGTGTAATGATTTCTCCCAGAGATAACGGCTCTGCAGGAGCTGCCAGCCGGGAGCACTGGCACCGATGGAATTGGCAACGGAGGAGCCCGGCCTTGGGATTTTTTTTTTCCGAGTGTTAGTATTTAATAATAAAGATTTTGATTTCTAATCCCAGAAAAATAAAGCAGCTGAAGAGGTTTCCTGGTCTGATTCAGGCTTGCAACAGCCTGGCCTGGAGGCTGGCACTGCTGCTTGGCAGGCTGAGCCGGAGTCTGCCCACATCCAGCATCCCGGGGGCACCGGGAAGGGATCCAGAATGCAAACCCAGGGAATGCTTCACTTCTTCCCTCCACACACTTACTACCTTCATCCACAGGAATGGGAGCCTGCACTCCCAGCTCTTTTCTTCGCCCCTCCTCTTTACAGAAGCAAACCCAGACCTCCAGTTTCCCTTTCCCATATTATTTCCCTCTGCTGCGCTGGATTGCAAAGCCCATTTTGATTCTCTTTCTTGAGTTCTGCAGAATCCCCCCTTCCCACTGTGCCCCGAATGCCAGTCTGTGCTGCCTCCCAGGGGTCCTGCCATGCCCTGAGCCCCGTGGTGGGATGCACTCCAGTCCGGAGTGGGGCTTATCAGCTGTGTGCTCCCTGCAGCTGGACTTGAGCAGAGAGCAGCTCCTTGCTCCAGCATTCTCTGCTCCAGGCCATCTGCAACTTTCTGGCCTGTGGTCGCTGTTTTTGTCCTGTTTTTGGGATCAGCTGCCAGCCCAGCTGTGGCCACAGCTCCCACAACAAACCCCGGCCCCGCCCGTGCCAGAGCGGTGCCTGTGCCAAGGGGTTGGCTCAGCTCCTGCCTGGGGAGCAGCACCAGGGATCCTCACTCCTGCAGCAGGAAGGATGATCCTGACACAGCCACCCCCGAGGGGCTCCGAGGCACAGGAGGCTCGGCAGTGGAGCCAGACTTGAGGCCATGTTCCCACTGAGGAACAGCCTGGCTCCTGCGGGCAAGCTCTGCCCAGGACTCCGGGTTGGGGGAGTGCTGGGAATGCACGGAGATGTGCCCCCCCAGGGGACACCCACTGCCTCCAGCCTCTTTTTGCTGGAGCAGAAGAACCTCTGCATCCCTGTGCCACCGTGCCAGCAGAGCAGCCTCTCTGGTGCAGGCACCCACGGCGACGTGTGATTAAATATTGAAGCATCTCGTTAAACATTGAAGTCGCGGGTGACCCGGTGGCATCGCCGGCGTCTGTCGGGGAGGAGAACAACGACGTCAGCAGCTCCGGCTGTACCACCCACGTCAGACTGTCCTTGGGCTCAGCACCAGGGGATCCGAGGTTCCCGAGGCCCTGAGCAGGCTGCAGGATGGAGCTCCACAGCTGGAGCCCTCCGAGCCTTCCTGGAGCCCGGGGCACCCTGGCTCAGACCGCTCTGTGCCAGCACGGCTGGCCTGGCACGAGCTGGCTGGTGCCTGATCCTGGTGAGGGGCCCACGGGGACAAATGGCACCAGATTCCCCTCATGCATTTGCCCGCTGTCCCCCACACCCCGTTGCCCGTCTGTGGTGGGCAGCCCTCGCTGTGGGTGCAGCAGGGCAGGCCGGGCACAGGCGGTGTGGCAGCGATTCCTCGAAGGGCTCTCGCCCGCCCAGGGCCCGGGGCCAAGGGCAGGGCTGGGGCCGGTGCCGGCACCCCAGGCAGCCTGGGACTGTGCTCCTGGCTGCTCTGCCAGCAGCTCCAGACCGCTCTCCCTGCCAGCCCTTCCTTCCTGCTCTTCCTGAGCTCCCTCCAGACCCTGCTCCCCACGACCTCCCCACCTCATCCCACTCCCACTGTGCACAGCTCCAAAACCTCCCAGGAGCCAGAGCATCTCTGGTTTTAACCTGTCCAGGGCTTTGGCCACACCTCTCCCTATATCCCAATATGGATCCTTCCCTGTGGGGGTGGTGAGGCCCTGGCACAGGTTGCCCAGAGAAGCTGTGGCTGCCCCTGGATCCCTGGAAGTGTTCCAGGCCAGGCTGGATAGTGCCTGGAGCCCCCTGGGCTAGTGGAAGGTGTCCCTGCCCATGGCAGGGGGTGGCACTGGATGGGCTTTAAGGTCCCTTCCAACCCAGACCATTCCAGGATTCTGTGATTTTAGGATTCTGTAAACACCACCCAGTTGTAACAAGGAGTAGGACCACTGTGCAAATACCAAGTGCTGTTTGTACACCCAAGTCCTCCTCAAACACAGTTAAATCTCTGATGCCCTCTGGGACTTTTTTGTCTACATTTTAAAACAGCTCCTGGTTACTCCTGTGCTGAAAGAAAACCACCTCCAGCCCCATGAGGCCATGGCCAGAGGAATCCCGCCATCCTTCTGTAGCCCCACTAACAGTGGCAGCATCCTCCTGGCACCCGGCTCTCCTCAGCCAGGGGACACAGGAGTGAGAGCTGTGACACACCGGGCTGCAAATGCCTCCAGGCCTGTCCATTTAAATTGAATTTTTAATGTTTATGTTTCACCCCAGCTCCCTGTGTAGTCACTGCACTGAATCACCTCAGTTTGATTAATTCCTGGCTCATTTGAAGGAGTCCACACGCTCTAAAGACACATTCCCTGGAAAGCCCCTGTGGGTGAGGGTCATGGATCTGCCATCTGTTTGCACAGAAAAATGCCTCATTTTTAATTGGGACACACAGAATAAGTAACTGAATTTTTATCCCCAAACCACCACCCCAGAGCTGGGGGTTCACCCCGCCCCGGCCCCCACCTTTGGCCTCTGGGAGCAGTTGTCAGGAGCCTGTCACCACAATAAACTGGGGAATTTCTTCCAGGAACTTAGATCAGAAACAAAATATTTATCTCTGTCTTTAAACCCAGCTTGGTGCTGAGACAGACCAGCACCTCATGACCCAGAGGCATCCCAAAGCCAAGCAGGGAGTCTCCTCTGTTCCCTGTCCCAATGACTGGTGTGATAGCAGAGAAACTAGTCCAGCTCCACCACGGCACAAAAAAATCTCTTGTGAATCCTGGATCCAATTAAAATTATTTCAGGCTTAATGATTCGAGCTGCTGGTGGTGGTGGAGAGTTCCAAAACTTACTGCTGTGTTAACTCCTCATTTTACACTGTCCCTCAGAAGGAAACCAGAAAGGGAGCATTCCCTGCTCCAAGGTGTCTGCTGGACCCCAGGTGAGAGCTGGGCTCTGTGCCACTGAGGTCCCATAAAGGGGGTTTCCGTGCCGTGCCAGGAAATCATTGTGTCCATGCCAGGGAACACCCACATCCATGGAGTGTGGGACGGTGCCCAACCAGCCCCACACCCTGCAGTGGGTGCAGGTCAGCAGCTCCCTGCCTGTGGCACAGGTCACTGGAGCTCTGCTGTGCTGCACGGTGGGAGGGGGATCCTGCCCCAAACCACTCCCCTGCTGGGTGCATCCCGGGAAAACCGCTCTGCCAGAGCCTCCCAGAGCAACCCAAGCATCTCCCCACTGGCAGTGGGGGTACCAGTGACCCCACAGCAATGGGCAGTGGGAGCCAGAACCGCCCCAACCCACTGGACCACGAGTCGCTCCAACCTTTCTCCGCGCTCGGACGCCCGTGAGGTTGTTTGAGCTCCCTAGGATGTGAACACTGCTCAGGCACGGCCCAAGGGCCCACGGATTGCAGCAATCTCCTCACCTCTCTTGGGCTCCCTGCTCACTCTCATTCCTCCTTCCCCTCTTTGCCATTCTAACATTTATCCAGGCTGACAGCCTTTCACCCTCCAGGAGCTCCTGGAAATGCTTTGCCCAGAGCTCTTCGACCTTAAAGATTCCAGCAAGCCCACAGCAACAGGTGTTACCAGGACCTGCAGCCACCCCACCCCACCCCAGCCCTGCCAGGACCTTGGGCAGTTACAGGAGACACCAGAGCTGAGAGAGCTTGGTTGGGTTTGCTTGGCTGGGGGCATCCATCAGGCTTTACACCAAAAAGCTGCATCTAAATGTTTGCTGGGAAAGCTGGAATGGTGTGTCCTGGACAGTGGCCCCAGATCTGCTGCTCAGCACAGTGAAGGGGCTGAGGGACTCCGAGCTGGAAGCTGAAGGGATGCTGAGCTGGAAGCCCTAATGGTCAGGGCAGAGTTCCTCTGCTTGCACTGTGCTGGGTTTGTCTTCACTGGGAATTCCAGATGAAATGTTGTTTTATTTCACCTGTGTTTATCCACTGGAAGGAGAGCAGAGCAAAGGTAACTACACAGATTCACAGGAATAGCTCTCCAGGTGGGTATTGAGCTGGGAAGGATCCCTGCTCCTATTTCCCAGGCACTTTCCCCCAGGACACAGCAGTGCTGGGGACCCTGCACAGGGGGTCCTTCTGCCTGACCACCCCCCCCATGGGCAGGGGCACCTTCCACTAGACTGGGGTGCTCCAGGCCTTGTCTGGGACTTCCCCAGATGTAGCAGCAGTGCCACAGGTCAACCTTGGACATATCCTTAGAAATCCCACTGAAATGAGCTGCATTACACCAGAGAGCTCAGGTCAGAGCAGAAACCCGAACAGGACAAAAGGCTGAGTTTTTCCCATGCCACACCAAAGCAGAGCGAGGGGAGCTCTCCCTGTCCCTCTCCAGCAGATCATCCCCATCACTGGCAGGCAGTGCCGAGGCCGTGCTGCTCCCGTTGTCCCGGGAGCGTGTAACGCCGGGATATCATGTCTGTGATAACACTCACTGTGTGCACAAGACTCTGCGCCTCGAGTTTAATGGAGAAAAGGTTCTGCCTGTCTGTTCCACTTACTCACATCAGAGCGGGTTTCACGTGGGATTAGCGTGTCCCTGCTACAGGAAAGGGATGATTCGGGAAGAGAAATGGAAATACACCTGCGGGACGCTCACGGGCTTACAGAAAGAAATGCAAACTGCACTAATTTGTTGCACTAATTTGTGGCTGCCCCATCTCTGGAATGTCCAACACCAGGCTGGACAAGGCTTGGAGCAACCTGGTCTAGTGGAAGGTGTCCCTGCCCGTGGCAGGGGGTGGGACTGGAGGAGGTTCAGGGTCCCTCCCAACACAAACCATTCCATGACTCTGTGATTAATTTAACCCAAAATAAGCATTCTGATTACATTTTCTATTTCTGACGTATTATTTGTGCTACAAGAACTGTGAAGGGGCTCAGACCAGTGTGATTTACACACGCACACAGAAGGGATGGGGAAGAAGGTTCCTCATCCATGACCTCAGAGAGAGCTGATGGATCTGCTCGCACACCATGGGCCATCCCAGTCCTGTGGCAGTGCTCAGCCTTTGGTCCCACCAGCTCCCTTTCTGAGCCCTCCATGTCCATCCCTTTAGGAGCCCTCAGTGTCCATCCCTTTAGGAGCCCTTCATGTCCATCCCTTGAGGAACCCGCCACTGCCACAGAGCAGCTCATCCCGTGTGCAATCTGATCCACCTGGAGATGCTGCTGTGGGTGGCACCTTCCCTCCTTTGGCCCTGGACCTGAACCCAAGGACCGTGTCAGGGACACCCCCCCAGCTCAGCAGCCCCAGCACACAGCACACAGACAGATTGGGTTGGGGTTTTTTTTAAACTCCAATATTAGAAAATTCCCGGGAGCTGTAGCTCTTCACAAGGAGATGTTATTGCTGACAAAGCAGGAAAAAACTGCAACCACGGGCTGCTCTGTGTGATCCTCTGAAGGAGATGCACTGCAGCACGGATGCTCTTCCCACCCAAGGCAACTCTGCAGGGTTTGGGCTTTAATAGCCCAAAAAGCCCTTCCTTTTAGGCCCTGGAAGGGGCTCTCGGGTCCCCCTGGAGCCTTCTCTTCTCCAGGTGAACACCCCCAGCTCCCCCAGCCTGGCTCCAGAGCAGAGGGGCTCCAGTACTTGGAGTATCTCCGTGGCCTCCTCTGGACTTGCTCCAGTAGCTCCACGTCCTTCTGATGTTGGGGCCCCTTGGGGCTGGAGGCAGCTCTGCAGATGGGGTCTCACTAGAGATTTTTTTAGATTTTCCTGTCTAAATCTGGGCAATTTCTATCCCTGCAGTGATGATCCCTCATGGTGATGCTGCTCCAGAGAGGGGGGGAAATGGGCACTTTCTGTTCCCACCCCTGCTGTCCCCTGTATTCCACTGGTCCTGTCACTACACGCCCTTGTAAAAAGTAGATTCTCCCCCTCAGTTGCAGCTGGAAGACACGGATCCATTCCCAGCTGTTGCTTTTCCTGGAGAAGCAGGAAGGGCAGAGCAGAGACCAAGCTGAGCTGGCACAGGCGGCTCAGCCCGCGTGACTCGCGCGGGGCCGGTTACGTATCACACATCCCTGCCCTCTAAAACCCCCAAGGACTTCCCAAATTGTGTCAGGCCCCGATTAGCCGACGCAATCACATTTCACTTGGCTACACAGGGGGGTGCTGGGTGGAGATTTCATTCTCCAGCACAAGAACTGAGGTGGCACAGCACCAGCTAAACCAAGTTACAGGAGGAATCACTCCTCTGGGTTCAGTGCTTCAGCCAAAGTGGGTTCCTGATGGTTTGCCAAGGTCTGGGTTCCCTCACGCCCAGAGACAAGTGCTGGTTTGCTCAGCACCTCCCAGGGGCTGAGAGGCCACATGAGCTCCAGGACACCAGTGCTGAGCCAGGATCCCAGCAAGGAACTGCTCTGATGCAGCGAGCTCCTGGGTCTGAGCCCCTTCCTGAGGGGAACAGGGATGTTTGCACCAGGGTGGTATCCTGGGCATGGTCTGAATGTGCCAGGGGCTGATGAAGCAACCCCTGGGTCCAAAACAGAATTTCTCCAGGATCCTGTCAAAGAATCACAGAATGGGTTGGGTTGGAAGGGACCTTTAAAGGTCATCTAGTCTATTCTGCCATGGGCAGGGACACCTTCCACTCGCCCAGGTTGCTCCAAGCCCCTTCCAACCTGGCCCTGGCACTTCCAGGGATGGGGCAGCCACAGCTTCTCTGGGCAGCCTGTGCCAGGGTCTCAACACACTCATAGTAAAAAACTTCTCCCTTCTATCTAATCTATATTTGACACTCCTTTAGTTTAAAACCACCACCCCTCATCCTTTCACAACAGGCCCCTGTCCCCACGGTACAAACCAATGTGCAGCAACCCCAGTGTGCAGCATTGGGCATCAGAGGTCCTTGCCAGTGCTGGGGCCATCCATCCCTCCATCCCTCCATCCCTCCATCCCTCCATCCATCCATCCCTCCATCCATCCCTCCATCCGTCCATCCCTCCATCCATCCATCCCTCCATCCCTCCATCCCTCCATCCATCCATCCCTCCATCCATCCGTCCATCCCTCCATCCATCCATCCATCCATCCATCCATCCCTCCATCCATCCATCCCTCCATCCATCCCTCCATCCATCCATCCCTCCTCCCAGCCCCCCCGTGCCTGCAGACACTGGAATGCAGAGCTTTCCCAGGCACAGTGCTGGGCTGTGGCCCTGCAGCGCCGCCAGCTCGGGCCTTACTCGCTCCATTAGGTCCCTCCACCACACAAATAGATGGATAAATGGCAGAGGAGTGCAGTCCTGTCATTCTGAGACACTCAGAAATTAAGGTGGCTGCAGGGTCAGTGTGGATGGCATGTCTGGAATATGCAGAGGGAATGGAGAGGGAAAAGCAAGCTCTGCCTGGCAGTTGGAACTGGGATCTCCCCTGGCAGTCCAGGCAGCACCTTTCTCTGTCAGCAAGGTGCCGTATCAGACCTGATACAGAAACAATCCCAAACCACTCCCTATCTCCGGGATCCACTGCTCCCTGTCTACCACTCAGAGCTGCTGCAGTTCAGCCCAGGAAACAGAGGCTCTGGGCTGTTGAATTCAAGCCTCTGACAATGCACATACCTCAGCCACCTTCAGAAACACCCCCAGATTTTAGCTGGGTACCAAAGCAGACCTTTCACTGTGCCCAGGGGCACCACTGCTCAGTCACGGACAAACCACATCCTTGGCAGCATCCCTTGGTGCCCACGGAGACTGCAAATGCCAACCAAAGGGAGCATCACCCTGAGGACCACAGCATCACCCCAAGGAGCAGGGCATCACTCTGAGGCCCACACAGAGGGGGCTGGTGCAGACCCCGAGGCACTGGTGAGCCTGGAGCACAGGGGAGCTCGAGGATCAGCCTTCCTGGGGAGCACCAGCAGCACAGCAGGGTTCAGGCACCAGCCCAGCTTTGGGGCAGAGCACCCACAGCTCCTGGACTTCCCTGGTCCCAGCAGTGCTCAGTACACAAAATCTTGGAGCAAAATGCCTGGGGCTCCGTGTCAGGCAACCCAGCAGAAAGGTACTTGAGATAAGGTGGGAAGGAAAAGAGGAATCACCTCTGGAGCAGCTCCTGGTTGTCATTTCCTGCTCTGGGCAGTGCAAGGCTCTGGGCAGTGCCAACAGCTCGAGTGAGCTCTGGGATGACGGGTGGTGGGGGCTCTGCTCTGCCCCACTGACAGCAGAGATGCTCCCCCAGGGAGGCAGGAGGCCATTCCCCAACAGTTCCCCCAAATTCAGCCCCACACAGGGTCACTGGGCCCTGTGGTATCACCATCACCCCTGGCCCAGAGCCCTTCCACAGCTCAGCTACAGGCAGGTTGTGTTTTCCGGGTCTGGTCTAAACCAAAATGGTAATTAAGGAAGAAAACAGCACTGTCTGAACAGCTTTCCAGCGCCCTCTCCAACAGATATGTTCATTAGTTTTAATTACAGGGAAATCCCACACCAGCCAAGATGATGGAATATGGCATCAACCAATTAAAAGACAAAAATTTGATGTCCTGGCCTGTGACCCCACACTCAGAACATGCACAGTCACTGCCACATCCCCTGAACAGTGAGGACCACGAGCATCCCCCACTTACAGCTCTCTCATGCTGCTCCCCTGCTGCAGTTGTTATCTGCCAGCACCAGACCCCTCTGCTTTTATTACAGTGATGATATTTATATTGCACAGGAGAGGCTTTAATTGCATGAAGGCACCGTTTTGCTCACAACCAGAGATTCACACCCCACTCAGTGGCTGCAGCAGCTTCAGGACAGCACCTCGAGCTCCCACTGCAGGTCTGGGTCCTGCCCTGCCAGCCCCAGGGCAGCAGAGCCCCCAGGCTGGGGGACACCCACAGATGGAGACGGGCAAAGGCATCCCACCCTGTCCCAGGCTCCCAGCCACAGGATGACATTAAACCCTGCCTGTCACCATGGCCCTGCTCCTCACTGTGTCTGTCTGTCCATCCCACAGCTCCCACACTGTGGCTCTGCTCCTCACTGTGTCTGTCTGTCCATCCCACAGCTCCCATCACTCTGCCGACCCCAGCAGACCCACTGGGCTGGGCAGGGCCGGGTCCTGCCCCTCTGTAGGGGTCACATAAGCCCGGCTTTGTCCTCAGAGCTGCACCACCAGCATCAGACAACCCACACTCCATCCTCCAGCCTGACTCCATCCTCCCTGACAGCCCCTTCCCAAGGAACACTGACTGCAAGGGGGCTGTTCACCTCGATCCCTGATACGGAATTTTATGTTAAGGAAGGTTCTGCAAAACCCTCCCCAGGGCCGACATCCCAGGATGGGCACTCCCACCGCTGGCACGAGCCCGAAGGTGAGCAGTGCAGCAGGTGCCCGTGGGACAGGGGAAATCCCCCTCCTGTTTAGATTCTCTGATGAATAACAGAAATCCTGAACCCACGGCCACCCATGGGAGCAGGGGTGGAGTGGGTTAATACGAGCACCTCACTGGCTAAAGCCACGCTTGGAAAAGCTGGAATTCTGCCTCCATAGAGCAGGAGTGATGGCTGGACAAGCTGCTCCCCTTGTCACACTGTGCACACCTGGGGGGGCTGCAGGACCCCAGGCTGGAGAGGCCACATGCCACCGTGTGGGAAGGGAGCTGCAGGTACATCAGTCTGGCTGTAATTGTGGAGATACATGGGAGACGGTGATAAAGAAAAGCCCCAGGATTACACAGGCTGGGGGAAGGCATTGCAGGGAGAGATCAGCCCCTCTGCCACACAAAGGCAAATTGAGTCAGACAAAAATGCTCTCAGTGGTTTATATTCTTAAGATGGTATCGAATTCGTTACGAAGATGGAACAGCAGGAGATGTAATTTACCTATTTCATGCAAGCACTGGATACTCTGCAACACGGTAAATTGATTTACAGAGCTGGGAGGCAACACAGGGCTCCAAGAGATTATTTATTGACCCAGAGAGAGCAAAGCCTCAGCGGGAAAAGGTGGGTCTGATCCCTACCTGCCCACCCTGGCAGCCCCCTGGCACCAGGAGCTGGCAGGGACAGAGGATGCTCAGGGCAGTGGTGGCTTTCAGGACAACCTCTGGGAGGGCAAAGCTTGACAGGGGGTGGCACGTTGCATTTTCTCAGTCTAGATCATAATTCCTGTTAAGATAACTCCCAGGTATAGAGCAGCACTTTAAAATAAGGCTTTGAAGAAATTAAATAGATTAAAATATTCTTTTATTACAAATTGTTCCCTGTGAGGGTGGCCAGGCCCTGGCACAGGTTGCCCAGAGAAGCTGTGGCTGCCCCATCCCTGGAAGTGTCCAAGGCCAGGTTGGACGGGGCTTGGAGCAACCTGGGCTGGTGGAAGGTGTCCCTGCCCATGGCAGGGGGTGGGACTGGATGAGCTTTAAGGTCCCTTCCAGTACAAACCATTCCAGGATTCAGTGATTCTATGACTAGTTTATACATGGGAAGGAAGCAGATGTCTGTGTGGACAGCTGATGGCTGCCACCTCCCAGGATGACATTCACCTGTCAGAGAATCCCAGGATGGTTTGCATTGGAAGGGACTCCAAAGCTCATCTCATTCCACCCTTTGCCATGGGCAGGGACACCTTCCACTAGCCCAGGTGGCTCCAAGCCTTGTCCAACCTGGCCTTGGACACTTCCAGGGATCCAGGGACAGCCACAGCTTCTCTGGGCAACCTGTGCCAGGGCCTCCCCACCCTCACAGGGAACAATTTCTTCCCACTATCCCATCTAACCCTGCCCTCTGGCAGTTGGAAGCCATTCCCTCTTGCCCTGTCCCTCCAGGCCCTGGTCCCAATCCCCTCTCCATCTCTCCTGTGGACCCCTCACTCCCCTGCTGTGGGATGCTGCCCTTTAACAGGAGCACAGACCCATTTCTTGCAAACCCTCCCTGTGTCAGCTGCACACACCCTGTCTCCAGCTCTTTCCCACCAAAGGTAATTACCTTAAGAGCTCATTACGACCACAGGATGTGCGACTGCTGCCTGGAAATCGTGCTCTATTTTTAGCACATCACAGTAAAAAGTGGCAGATTGACAAGAATTATCCCTCCAGCAGGAAGGCAACGGCCTTGTTCAAACTGACTCTTTTTTTTGGCTAGAAAAGAAGTTCCTGTCCCTTCCGAGCAGGTGGGGCCGGTGCCAGGCCCACTATTGCCAGTGGTCCTCTCGTGCATCCTGCCCCAGTTCCAGCTGGTGGACTGCCCAGACTGGGGGTCTCGGGGATCTACAGCTCTGCCTCTGGCTCCTCTGCCTTGACTTCATGCCTGGAGAGGTCACAGTGACCCCCCCCCCGGTCCCAAGGCCACCCTGGCTCAGTGTCACACATCCCTTCCAGGGCTGAGTCACCTATCCCGTCGGAGCAATCCTGTCTCCCACAGGGATATTTGCAGAGATCGTGGTTGTGCTCAGGACCTGGGGAGGGAAATGGTCCAGTCCTGCCTTCCTGGCAGCCACCACAACACAAAGAACCCCATGTCCAGGGGGCTGAGGATGGAGCAGAACCCTGGGAACAGCCATTGACCAAGAGAAGGGAGATGCTTGGCTGGATGCTCAAAACGCCCAATATCCCAAAGATGCTGCCCAGGGCTCTGGGATTTTCCCCAGGGGCTGATGAGATCCCATTGAATATCCTGGAGGATGGAGGGAGGAAGGGAGGGAGGAGTGCTGCCATGCAGCTGTGCAGACAAATCACCCAGCCAAAGGGATGAACCATCCCCATTTTGTTGGATTTCAATACCTTCAGAGGAACTCAAAATGTCCCTGGCTGTGTTGAGAGCCCCCCCAGCCCGGCTGCTGGGCTGTGCCAGCCCACCAGGCCTCGCTGTGCCAGTGCAGGGGCAGGTCCTCTGGCACCCCTGGGCAGGGGAAGGCACTTTGGGAATGCAGCAACCTCCGGGATGACTTTGAGTCCCTGGGAGAAACCTCCTGGGGCTGCCTCCCCTCCCCGGGTGATGGTGAGCTGGGGCAGTGCAGGGGTGGCTGGGTGGGCAAGGAGCAGATGGTTCCCACAGCCAAACCCTCCCTGCCCAGCCAGCACCCACAGGTATCCTGCGTCCCAATATCCTGCATCCCAATATCCTGCATCCCAATATCCTGCATC